GTCCAGCATGAGTTTTATGCCTCCAATCTGGGACTTGAACTGTGGTTTACTATGTCAGATCAAGTGATGTAACCATTATGCCATCTGCTGGTCCCTAAAGATATTTTTTAAAAAGCAAAAAGTTATAACATGGGTGCTCCAATATTTATAGAACAGGTACTTACCGGTGACAAGTGAATATTTCATTATAAAATGTATATTTTAGAAAATATATTTGGAAAAGAGGTCATGGGGCCGGCAGGTGGCATGGTCATTAAAGGTGCTGGACTCCCACATGGCAGACTGCGGTTTGAATCCCGAACCTGGCAGTTTGCTTTCTCACTTTCTCTCTCTCTCTCTCTCTCTATTTCTCTCTCTCTCTCTCACTAGATTACTAAATTCCTCTCTGGTCAAATTAAAATAAGTAAATAAATAATGCTAAATAAAATAATTATTTAAAAAAAAGAAAAGAGGTTATCAGGCTCATTATTAATTTTATTTTTATACAAACACACACACACACTTACACTCACACATATATATTAAGATTTTTGCCAGACAGAGACAGTGAGAGGGAAAGTGAAAAATCACCCACAAGGGGTGATGGCTGTGCCACAATGCCTTCTCCTGGGATTTTGGGCAGGCACACACATGCACCCACGATGATTATCAAGCTGCCAATTCCATGACTTGAACTGTGGTTGATCATGTGGGAGTCCAGTGCCTTAACCACTATGCCACCTACTGGCTCCTAGTTTTATTATTAATGTTCTCCTTGAGAACATCCATCCCTATGGATTTGCACACGCAGACTGATCTGTGCCTTTTAAAACGTAGTAGTGTTAAGATATGAGGGGACAGGGCCAGCAGGGGGCATATGGTTAAGGTGCTGGATTCTCACATGGCTGACCATGATTTGAGTCACAGACCAGAGGCTTGAAACTCACTCCAGATAGGTGTGTCTGAATGCCCACAATCCCAAGAGGAGGATGAAGGGATTGTGACATGGTCGTTCACCCTGGGAAAGTGATTTCTTACTTTCTGTCTGTCTAGTGAGGGGTCTTCATAAAAAATGCACATTTTGGAAAAAACATAAATTTCAAAACCTTTTCACACTAAAGCATACTTTAATTCCATTTTTTCAACCAAACTATTTGAAGTTCTTTATATATTACCAGAGAAAATAATTGAGACTAAATGGGTGAGAAATGCATTATAGTGTGTTAGAGAAATCATAGCACTTTCCTGGGCAGGTTGGTCGCCTTTTTGGTTTACTAGATTTCTAGACAGACCTCCCCTCTGTGAGTGCACTGTCTATGTGACTACAGACTTGTAATCCTTACTGTTGTGTGGAGCTTTATGGAAAGGAATAGGGATAAGAAACTTGAGGGAGGAAATGAAAGTTCACAGAGGAAGCAAACATGCAAGTCAGGGGAGGGCCTGAGGGCAGGGGAATAATAGCTCTGGGCACCCCAGTCCTGTAGCTATAAGCAGAAGTAGCAACACCTCATGAGAGGCTGAGGCCTGCTGCATCGCTGGAGTGCAGAGCTGGGCAGGTGGAAATGCCTCTGAGCTTCCTCTCCAAGTAGCTGATTCTGGAGAGGGCAATTAATGAGCCTCCAGCCTGGACCCAGTCCCTTCTTCATATAATCCCGATGCTTCCTCAAGGACTGGAAGTCAGCCTTTCACAGTGTCAGCCCTAGTTTGGAAAGTTGTGTGTTGAGTTTTCTCCTTCTAGGAGGCATATGAAAATGAGTTGAGATTTCACTATATCTCACTTTGAGAGGCATTGATTGCATTAAGACCCCAAAGAAGGTTAGAGAAATATTTGCACAGATCTAAGGAATTAGCCGAGGTGTTTTGTCATAAACTGGGGTGTTTGGGTATCTTAACAGTCTCTGTTGAAATCATTGGGAACTTACACTGAAATGGGACAGTTGTGAGGAAGGTGTTAATAAAAATGTATAAAATGGGGGTCAGCAGGTGGCATGGAATTTAAGGTGGCCGGATCTTACATTGCCAACCACACAGTTTAAATATCAGATCCAGTAGCTTGAAAACTACTGAGTGTATGTGTGTGCATGTCCAAACTCTTGAGAGGAAAATGAAAAATCTCTTGGAGTGAGAAGGGATTATGGTATAGCCACTCTCCGAGGGTTGCCTTTTCCCTCACCTCTCTTTCTCTCTTTCTCTCTCACTCTCTCTCCCAAGCAAGCACATACATCTTCTAGAAAACTGAAAAGAAAAAATATAGTTTATGGAAGTGATGTCTAAAATAGAAAATATGTAAATGATCTGTTTGTGAATATGAATTAACCAAACAATGGGGTGGTAAGAATCCAAACAGCTTTAACAAGTATGGCCCATGTATTACTATGCATGGCTCATCATTGTCACTCACTGATTTACTTTGTTGGGTTCGGTTAAATATTAAACCCCCCAGATTCTTTTTTTTTTTAAGGTTTTTGTCATAGGGGACATGTGCTCACAGGGAGAGAGACAGAGATAGTGAGAAAGAAAGTGAGAAAAGAGAGATGGCCACTAAGCAATCCTTTCTCCTCTATTCTCTTTATGGGATTTTGGACTCACATAACTGATGTAATTTTCTTTTTCTTTTCTTTCTCTTTTCTTTCTTTTTTTTTTGGGGGGGGGGTTTGCTACAGGGCACGTGCACTCACCAGAAAGACAGAGAGAGACAGAGACAGAAAGTGAGAAATTACCCTCCAACAGGATGGCCATGCTGCAATCCCTTCTCCTCTATTCTCCTCTCGGAATCTTGGGCATGTACACGAAAGCACCGGACATGAGCTAAAGCCACGGTGGCCACGACTCGAATCATAGTGGGAGTCCAATGATGTAGCCATTGTGCCATCTGCTGGTCCCTGATGTGATTTTTCAAGTTGCCAGGTCTAGGACTTAAACCATGGTCGGCCATGTAGGAGTCCAATGCCATAACCACTACATCATTTGGTGGCCCCACTCCCCTGCTTTCTTAAAAGAGCTTGCTTTCCAGTAGCCAACTAGTTCATAAGATGACCTTCCCTACCACGGGCAGGTAGGATCTGAGGCTGCATATTTATGACCCCCCACTCTTAACTACACTCTGCACTAAATACACTGCTGCAAGAGAGCAATAATTACTTTTTGAGTGCTAAATTAACACAAATAGCAATGTTTGGAAATCTGCAATGTTCAGAGAAAAGAGAAAATGAAACAAAGCAAAACAAGACAAAACAAACAAACCAACAACAACAACAACAAAAAAAACAGGGTTAGTTGTAAGGAGCATCTGCTATCAACTGACAGCATTCGTTTATAACTTCATCAACCCAAATTATCATTTTTAATTTTTTATTAGTGTTATTCAAAAAAAAGTTTTACTATAGGACAGTATACTTGCCAGAGAGAGAGAGAGAAAAATAGAAAGAATGTGAAAAAATGCCTTCCAGAGGGGATGGCTGTGTTGCAATCCCTTTTATTCTATTCTCTTCTCAGGATTTTGGATAGACATGCCCACACACTCGAGATGTTTTTCAAAGTCAAGTTTGAGACTCAAACCACACAGTTGACCATCTGGGATTCAGTTGCCTTAGTTACCATGCCACCATCTAGTCCCCATTTTTTTCCTATTCTATTTTAGAGGTTATTTTATAATATTATTTCACCTTCAGGTATTCAAAAATTCCGTGAGTAACAATTTTTTTAAATTACTAGTCTCCTAAAAAAGAAAGTACTTGAATACTTGGATGTTGATGGAGAGGATCAGTCATGAACAAGCCAGTTACTCACGAGCCTCTTATCTTCCTGGGACTGGCAGGCTGGGAAAGACAAATGGACTGAGGAAGGTCAGAGAAATTTCTTGGAGCATGAGAAACTTTGAGAGAATGGGACAGTGTCATCTTCACGTTTCTTGGCTCAGAATTGAGTGAATGTTTCTTTCTTCCTAAAGACCATCAGCTTATGACACATCTCAGAATTCCAATTATTATGTGCTCTCGTAGTTTTCCAAGGAAAGAGTTCTTGCCATTTGGTGGGCTCCAGCACCTGACCAAATGATCCCCAGAGTGGGAAGGAAGCAACGTGTACTTGGTTACTGGCCCAACACTCTTAGGGGAGAGCATTACCTGAGAGAAAGGACCTCTCAATAAATGTTCCCTGTGGCAATTTTCTCGTTTAGAATGGCTTTCAAATTTTAAAAAATTATGATATGTTTTAGAACAACCACTTTGCATCATGACCTAATATTCCATCCCTCATACACACACATATACACACATATGCATGTATATTTGGTACATGTTTATCCTTGATACTTCTCTTGGGCCTTTCATACTGTCTTTTCAGCTCTGTTCCATTCATAAGAAGTGCTTATTGAGACTCAGTAAATTGGTTTCTTTATCTGCAGTAGACAATTCAACAGCTAGGAGAAAAACACAATCTTAGCAAAACTTGAATGTTCCAATGGGACATAAAGAGCTGAAGTGAGTCACTGTGTTCTATCCATACCACACTACAAGCAGGAGCCTTATACATTGGTGGATGGTGATGACAGGACAGAGTTCTTTCTCTTCCTTAGAGCAGAAAGGAGGAAGACATGTAGGAAGAGAGTTATAGGAAGTGACAGGAACTGAAGAGAGTAGGGAAAGTCTTCTCTCTATATTATTAAAGTTTCACCATCTAATTACAAATTAAGTATTTGGTTTTGAAAAATGGCAGTTTTATTTCTGTTAACACCATACACATTGTGGTCAACTTTGTGGTTTGAGTCTCAAAGACATACACACACACACACAGACACACACACACACACACACACACTTTACTTTTGCAGCTATACTTGGAATTTTCTATGTAGACTCTGCTGATGAACATAAATAGTATAATATAAAGATTTGAATAATGAAAAAATGGAGACATAAGACCCCAGAAAATAGCAATGATTACTAAAAGACAATCTGATCACATCTTTGAGTTTTGTGGGTATTATTTTTACTTATAACTTCTAATATTTTTCTTTCAAGGAAGCTTGCAAGTTCGCTATCAGCTAAGCAAGGAAGAAATCCATGTATTCACCATTGATGTAGAGAACTTTGCCAACAGGAGGATGCACCACCTGAAGATTACCCGTGAGGGGAGAGAGCTAACCATTCAGGTACCTTACTTTCCTTCTTCCACTCAGCCAATAACCATTGGCTTCTCATTCATACTTCTGAGTTTCTGCCCGACGTCGGTGTAGAGAAAAGTGCTAGGTGTGTGTGGATCTTAATCACACTTGGATAAACTAGAAAAGTGATTCTCGAGCTGTGCTTTCTTCAGCATTGCCATCACTTTTTCCTTTAGCATTTATATCACCTAGGACTTTGTTAGAAATGCAAATTCTCGGGCCAGCCTCATGGCCTAGTGGTTAAAGATGTCATATCCCACATGACTGATCACAGTTGAAATCCTGATCTGATGGCTTGAAAAGTACACTGAGTACATATGCATGCCCAACATCCCAGCGGGATGAAAAAAATGAGGGGAAGGGATTGCAGCATGACTACACCCCATGGGGGGGTGCTTTCTTCTTCTCCATCTGTCTTTTTCTCTCTGGTGAATGCTCTCTGGAAATGAGAGAGAGAGAGAAAGAGAGAGAGGTCTGGACATGAAACCAGATCTGCTTATTCATGACCTTCTCGAGAGGGGCAGCAGGTGACTCTAAGTTGTGCTCAAGTTTGATGACCCCTGAACTAGGTGACAGTTTACTAACACACATAGGTAAAGAGGAAATCACAATAGAGTAAGATAAGAGCAGTGGAAGAATGACAACAGTCCTTACTTCCTGCAGAATATTAGGAGTAAACTGAGTCTTCAAGATGAGTAGAAGAGGCTTTCTTCCCTAAATGCTGAAGGGAAAGGAGAGTGCTCAGAAAGTGGGTCCATGTGAGCACAGACAAGCTGAAACCACAGTGCTCTGCATACAGAAGACAAGCATCAGGTAATGGCAGGTCAGCCCCTTTAAAATTATGACTTAAAGTGAGCTCTCTAATCTGCCCAGTTTTAACCCATCCATTTGTTCTCTTAGATGACCATTTTAAATTTTTTCCTTCTTCCTTACACTGCCAACAGCTGCAACCCAACCTTCACTTTTAGTGGGCGATACTGCTTTCCTCTTTCTTGTGAAAAATGTAGAATTAGGAAAAGAATACATGTACACACTCAGCAGCATAGTCCCAACTATATTCACCTGTGTGCTCGCAATCTCCCTCCTGGCGCTGAGTATGAATAGCTGATGGTTCCTGGTATAATGTGTCAGATCTGTTGGTCAGATCTCATACTCTACTTGAGAACATCATTCCAGATGTTTCCTCTCTCCTTGACTTTTCACCGTTTTTTCCAGTTCTACTGGGTGATTCTCCAAAGAATAAAACAAGCAAACATTGCATGCATTAGAAGAAAACACACACACACACACACACACACACACACACACACACCCCTCTCTGGGTTAAGACAAAAAACTTCTATCTGATTTACTCTATAAGGGAGTTTCAATAAATTCTTGGGGAAAAAATGGAATCAAAATATAAATTTTTCATGGTGCAAAAACTTGAAATCCATGCAGTTTTTCATAATACCCATAGTCCATGAGTTTCTTGAAGACCCTTAATATGCACTGTCCCATTCTCATTCATTTCATTACCCCAATTTTTGGAACTATTATTTATATGCTTGATTTCCAAATTTCCATTTTTTCCCTTAAAAACAGCAACAAGATTCTGTCTCTTTGTTGAAGCAAAATTGTACTTTTCGACAGCAATGGCTTGGTCCTGCAAAATCCAATGGCCTGGTCTCAATCTTATGCTTTCTTGCCCTCTTAGTAGCAGTGGGTTGCTTTCTGCTCTTGAGACTTGATTTGACTCTTAGGTTGAAGGATACCACTCTTGCTGGTTGATCCTTCTGTTTCTGTTAGTTCATTCTTATTTTCCTTCTTGGCTCCACTCCAAACATCTCTTCAAACTTCAGCTATAGCAGTCCAGGACTCCATATCCAGAAGTTCACATCCACATTCATTCCATGGCTCTGGTTATTCAGTGTCACCTTTATTTATTTTTCACTTTTCACCATAGGTCGCATATGCTAGCTGGAGAGAAACAGAGGGAGGGAAAGTAAAAAGTCACCCCTGGGAACCAGCAGTTAGCGTACTGGCTATGTCACTGGACTCCCACGTAGTCAACCGTGGTTCGTGTCCCGGACTCGGTGGCTTAAAACTCACACTGAGCATGTGTGTGTGCGTGCCCAAGATCCCGAGAGGAGAATGGAGGAGAAGGGATTGCAGCGTGATAATCCCCCCGGGGGGTGATTTCTCCCTTTCTGTCTCTCTGTCTCTCTCTGTCTGTCTGGCGAGCGCACGCGCCTTGTAGCGAAAACCTCTCAAAAAAAAAGAAAAAGTAAAAGTCACCCCCAAGGGAGATGGTCACACTGTAAATCACTTCTCCATTTTCCTCTTGGTATTTTAGGCATGCATGCACATGATTCTGGCATGGTTTTCAAGCCTCTTGATGTGAACTTGAACTGCAGTCTGCCAGGTGGGAGTCCAGTGCTTTAACCACTATGCTACCTGCTGGCCTCATCTATCTCACTTTTTACAGTGCTATGTATATGCTTATGAATCATTCTCAAATGATTATCTAATTTTAGTCCACTTCCTGAATCCAGGCCTTATATCCAATTGCATACTTGACACATCTGTTTGAATGTCTATTAGGCAGCTTGGATATTTAAATAAATATTTAAAACTGAATTACCAAACATTTCTCACAAACATCTTCCCAACTACCTTCCCCACAACCTTCCATTTCTCAGATTATGGCAAATCTATGGTTCTAGTTGCTCAGTCACAAAGTTGTGGTGTCTGCTTTGAGGTCTCTTCATACCTATGACATCACATTAATCAACAGCTTCTGCTTTGCCCCAACCACAACCTTTATTCTTTCCTTGTATTATTACTTTTTACAGTAGACTCTTTTCAAAAAAAACTATTCTTTATTTAATTTTATTTATTATTTTTTTTTTGAGAAGTTTTTGCATGTGTGCTCGCCAGAAAGACAGAGAGAGACAGAGAGAAAGAAAGCGAGAAATCACCACCTCAGGGGAATGGCTATACCACAATTCCTTCTCCTCTGTTCTCCTCTTGGGATCTTGGGCACACATGCACATGCACACACACATGCACTGGGCATGGGTTTAAGCCACTGGGTCCAGGACTCAAACCACAGTTGACTACATGGGAGTCCAGACACATAGCCATTACACCAACTGCTGGTTCCTATTTATTATTATTTTTGTTTCTAATTTGACAAGAGACAGACAGAGAGAGAAAAGAAAAGTGAGAAAGCAAGCTACCATACCAGGTCCAGGACTCAAACTGTGGTTTGCCATGTGGGAGTCCAGCGCCTTAACTGCCATACTATCTGCTGGCCCCTACAGTTGACTCTTAACTGGCATATTTCTGGCTCCTTTTTTTGTCCCTCGCTGCCTACTCTCAACAAGCATTCTGAATGATTCTAGTCAAAGAAGTCAGGTTGTGATACTCTTCTGGCCACATGCATCAGTGGTTTCCCTTATCATGCAGAGTAAACTCCAAAGGTCATTCAGTGGCTTAAAGAGATCTCCATAATCTGGGACTAGCAAGTGACACAGTGGTTAAATTATTAGACTCCCATCTGGCCAAACTTGGTTCAAGTCCAGGAACTGGCAGCTTGAAAATCACCCCCAGGCTCAAGTGCATGCATGTCCAAAATCTCAAGACGGGACTAGAAAAGAAGGAACTGTGTGGCCATCCCTCCCTGGGGAGTGATTTCTAACTTTGCTTCTCTCTGTCTCTGTCTCTCTAACTCTCTGGCAAGCACAAGCACCCTATGCCAAAAAATATTTTAAAAAAAGACAGAACTCGGTAATCTAATGTTCCTCCTCCCTTCCAAAAGTGAATTGTCTAGCCTCTTCCATTACAATTCCTTTTTGTAACTCCACTTCTGATATTCTGGCCTTTCTGCCAGACTCACTATTTACTTTGCCTTGAATTCTGTTTCCATATATCTATTCACTTAGTCCTTGTAATTCTTCAAGACTCAAAAAGTTCTCAGGCCATCTATGATCATCTTATTTAACAAAGCAACCTAACTCCTTGATTTCAACCCTACACTCCTATTCTCCTTACCTGCATTATTGGTTTTTCTCTCAGCACTTAGCACCACCATCTAACATACAGTTCACTTGTTTGTTAAATATTCTGTCCTGTCTCCCTCCTCTAAAGGGAACAGGGATTTATTTTTACATTACTATAGAACCCCCAATTGTCAAGCAGTATAGCTACTTAATAAATACATGTGAAATAAATCAGTGTCTTCTGTAGGTGTTAAGGTACTCTGTGGAGAAGATTGACTGATCTTGGGGAAAGGGGCAGGAAAATCACTGGATTTTAGTCAAGGGAGTGCCGTGAACAGATTTTTCACTTTTTGGGGATACCTGTGATCACTCAGTGAAAAGACATTTGGGAAAGATGAGACATAATACAGAGATCAGCAAGTCAGAGATCGTGAGAGCCTCAACTAGAACAGAGTGGGAAGTCATAAAGGAAAGTACTGGAGGGATGATACTGGCAAAACACCAACAGCTTTGGGTGGCCTTTAGGGTCTGGGATGTAGGAGATGTCAAGATTCGCTATTATGGGCCAGTCAAGGGCATGGAGATTGAGGCATCTGGATCCCCATGGCCACCTGCACTGTCTTAGTCTTGGACCTAGAGGCTTGAGAAACACTCTGGGTGAGTGTGTATGCATACCCCAAATCCAGAAAGAAGAGAAAGATGGAAGAGAAAGGTATGCAGCATGTTGTGGTATGACCATCCCCTATGGGGCTGACTTTTTCACTCTCTTTCTTTCTCTGTGTTTCTCTAGTAAGCACACATGCCTTCTGGAAAATACATATACCAAAGATTGGTTATTCATTATCTCAGTTGAATAGAAGTTCAGGAATAATTATCAAATATGTAGCATAAGTAACAATTCCCCAGTGATCTGAACTTAATGGGCTTACCCAAAGTATTACTCCTGAAATAAATGGGGAAAATCCACCTGACCATATTGGGATTGGGGCTAAACAAAGGATAAAA